TAGGTGTGATTTCTTAGGGTTACCCTTGCACACTGACAAATGCTCCTTCCATCTGATCGAGGGTGCACGGGAGGTTTGACCAACATACTGCGACTTGCATCTAGTTGACGCAATGACGTAAACACAATAAGGCTGTTTAAGAAAGTTCAAACCAAAACGCGAGAAGAGCTTAATCCAAGAATCGACACATTTGTTAAGCCATCGAAGACGGCCACGCAGAGCAAACAAAAGAGTCAAAAGACAGTAAATCTCATCAAGGTTATCGTCAGCTTTTCCTCGGAACGATGCGATCACGTCGGTGACAACGACCCATTGGACAGTGGTTAGCCATATTCAGTTACGTCCTTCGTCATCGTTCTCGTCGTTACCAGATTGTGCCGCCTGGTCTTCCAAGTTCTCGGAAACACCGAAATCGGGTAGCGACTGACCACATATCACCTGCGCCCGTCGATCGGCTACATCAAAAATCGCCTGTACCTTAGTACTATAGCTGACGCCTTCCTCGCGGCAAATCCTACGCAGCGTGTCGTAGTCCAGAGTAGATAGCTCCTTTCGAGCGTTATCAAGGAAAAACATTCGTTCGATCATCATATCCCTGGTAGGAGGCTTCATAGCGGTGAGTGTCTTGGTAGCTGTTCCACGGGTTGACCGCCGAACTGCAATCTTCGTACGAGTTCGCTGCAGACGCTCCGACAGGCGCAACGGGCGAACGCCAGTTCGTTTGCTGGTACGTTTAGTAGGGGTAACCACCGGAGGGCTGTCCCCCACTGGTGTGTCCTCGCCCCGTTTCCTCTTCTCCCGAATAGACAGCTTGCCCGTTCCCTCCGTTATAGCCTCCACCTCACTTGAAGTCCCTGATGCATACGGTGGCTCTTCAACCCAGACTGCCTTTCCTTTATCCTTGGTGTTCACAGTCGTCGTCACTTGACTCTTCAACATTGTACTCGTCAACGCCTTACGAACCTCGGTTTTTATCTCCTCACGGATGTTTCCCAATCTCACGGACAGCTGGACTTCCATAGCCTTAGCCATCAGTAATTGCTCCACTTCACGTTTACGTAGTTTTTCAGCTTTACGAAGCGTTCTTTCAGCTTTGCGGCTCGCGCCTCCTCTTCGGCCCTTCGGGCTTCCTCACGTTTTTGCCTACGTTGTTCCCTCTCCGCACGCCTTGCTCGCTCCATCTCAACAAATTCCTGGAACGAGGCTACCGTTCGGTCCAACTCATCAAGGCGATTGTTAGCCGCAACTTTCGGTGCCGGATGCTGCTGCCTCGGGGGTGACGCAGGACCTGCCCTCCGATTAAACTCCGCTGGGAAAATATACCCATCCGCTTCCATGTGCCGCCGGTTGGTCTAATACCGCCAGCAGTCCGTCCGATAGTGACCCACCACCCTGCATCCAAAGCAAGTAGGTGGTGCTCTTCGCTGAGGTTCATCTCTGCGGTCTTCGCGGCTGCTTCCTCTTGATCCAAGCCGCTCACTACTGCTATCACGGTCCCGGTTATCCAGACGACCACGCTCCGGTGTCCGGCGGCGCCTCCCGTCGTTGTAACCTTGACGATATCGATCGCCCGCCATTCCTATGTGAACAGGAGCCGAAAGTCAACTAAGGGGACGTCCCCAGACTCGGCACTCTCAGAAGTCTTGGTAATAGCGGTCATGCGGCAAAGGCTGTCCAAGTATCAAGTAGCCAAAGTACCAAGGAACAAAGATCCCAAAATTGTGCTCACACACTCCCAGTAACTGACTCCAGGAAGGTTCACACGTGCGTCAAGAGGTCTATGTTGAGATAAGA